CCCAAATAGTGAAAGGAATTTATATATACTGAGCTGCTCAAAGCAGAAAATCCAGAGTCTTCCATAATAGTATACCACTCTTTATCTGGCCCTAAAGATTCAATTTATAAGGAAACCTCAAACCCATTCACTTCACTCCACTTCTAATGCTACTACATATTTCCAAATATTCTCATCTCTTGGTTCTTCTCTTAACAAAGTAATCTTTTTTAAAAAATTTTTTTGGGGATGTACTAAAATGAGATTTATTCTCTTAACTTTACCTATCCTTGGGTATGATTGGCCAATGGCTATAATTGGATTTCTGCTATCTATCTTCCAGTAGGGTGATTTAAGCTATTTACCCTCTGGTTGGAGAAAAGTATAAACCATTTACTCTTTTTTTGTTGTTAATCCTCACCCAAGGATATTTTTTCCATTGATTTTTAGAGAGTACAAGGGAAGGAGGGAGGGGAGAAAGAAAGCGGGGAGCAAGAGAAACATCAACGTGATTGGTTGCCTCAGGCCGTGCTGGGAATTGAATCTGTAACCCAGGTATGTGCCCTTGACCAAGAATCGAAATTGAGGCTCTTGGGAGCTGTAGTCTAAACTCTAACTTGAACTACACTGGCCAGGGCTAAACCATTTACTCTTAAGTGTCCTTGGTTTAGAGAAGATAGACAGGATATACTAGACGGCTGCAAATTGATGTATAACTATTTTTCTTAGTTTCCCTAGTCCTGGCTTACTAGTCTATCTCAGTAGGAGTCCCTGGATTCCAATACCTAATCCCTCCTTCACCCCTCCCCCCTCGCCCTGATTAGTATGGAACTTTAACCAACAAAGTAATCTTTTAAAAAAGTAAACACAGCTGATATCACTCCCCAGGATAACTATCTCTTAACATGGTACATAAGGCCTTGCAAACAATTCTTGCCTACTTCTCTCCTTTCGAATCTCCTTCCACTCCCCAATTCCTCACAACTACAACCCAGCCAACTCTTGCCATCTTTCAATTTTGACAATATTTTTCCCCACTTCATAAACTTCAAATACAGTGATCCCGCCACCTAAAATGTTCTTTTCCCTGAACTCTATCAGTCTAATTACTACTATTCTCAAGGAATCAACTTTACACTTTCTCAAGAGAAAATTTTCCTGATTTCCCAGCTCTCCCATTACATTCTTATAGCAGCCTAAGTTTTTCCTGCAGTGCACATATAAAAAATTAGAATTCATATTTACATGTGATTATTTTACAACTACATGCCCATTTACATGGTTAAGTTTCAGGAGGACAAGAATGTGTTTTGTGCTATTATATTGCCTAGCAATTAGTATTCTCTAAAACATACAAGGTAATCAAAAATATATAAGATACCACCATTTAATAAAATGTATCCCTATTGAGAATTTTTTTTTTAAATTAAGAATATTATGTTACCACTTCTATAAGCAATCCAAAAGATGTATTGTTCAGCCCTGGCTGGGTAGCTCAGTTGGTTAGAGAATCTGCCCAATGCACCAAGGTTGTGGGTCCCATCCCTAGTCAGGGCACATATAAGAATCAACCAATAACTGCATAAGTAAGTGGAACAACAAATCGATGTTTCTCTCTATCCTTCCTCTCTCTCCCTCTCCTTTCTCTCTAAAATCAATACATTAAAAACAAAAAACAAAAAACACCAAAAGATGTATTGTTCAATCCATGCTAAAACCAAGCATTTTAAAATATTTTATTTATTTAAAATTTTCCATTCCAGTTTAACTACAGTATTATTTTATATTGGTTTCAGGTGTACAGCATAGTGATTAGACAATCCTATGCTTTACAAAATTTCCCCCCTAATACATTATTGACTACATTCCCTATGCTGTATTTTACATCCCTGTGACAATTCTGAAACTACCAATTTGTACTTCTTAATCTCTTCAACCTTCCCACACCTCTTCCCCCCGCCCCCCTCCCCCAATCCCTCTCTCCACTGACAACCACTAGTCTGATCTCTGTATCTATGAATGTTTCACTTTCTTTTTTCATTTGCTCTTTGGTTTCCACATGTAAGTGAAATCATATGGTATTTCTCTGAATTATTTCACTGAGCATAATTACCCTTTAGGTCCATTCATGCTGTCGCAAATGGTAAGATTTTGTTCTTCTTCACAGTAATGTTCCATTGTGTATTTGTATCACATGTTCTTTACCCACTCATCTTTTCACGGGCATTTGGGTTGCTCCCATATCCCGGCTATTGTAAATAATGCTATAATAAACTTATGGGTGCATACATTCTTTTGAATTAGTGCTTTGGGTTTTTTTGAACAAAAACCCAGAAGTGGAATTCCTCGGTTATAAGGCAGTTTCACATTTAATTTTTTGAGTACACTCCATACTGTTTTCAATAGTGGCTGCATCAATCTGCATTTCCACCAGCAGTGCATGAAGATTTCCTTTTCTCCACATCCTTGCCAACACTTGTTTGTTGACTTACTGATGATAGGTGTGAGGTGATATCTCACTCTCTTTAATTTGCATTTCTCTAATGATTTGTGACATTGCATGTATTTTCACGTGTCCATTGGCCATCTGTATGTCAACTTTACAGAACTGTCTATTCAGGTATTTTGACCATTTTTCAATTGGATTGTTTGATTTCTGGATGTTGAGTTTTATAATTTCTTTATTACATTTTGGATATTAACCCCTTATCAGATGTCTTATTGGCAAAAATGACCTCCCATTCAGTAGGTTGTCTTTTCATTTTGTTGATGGTTACTTTGATATGCAAAACCTTTTTAGTTTTATGCAGTCCCATTTGTTTCCCTTGCCAAGGAGCTATATCAGAAAAAATTATCCTATATAATTAAAGGGTAATATGCTAATGATATGTTAAGGCTGCTCAACCGCTCACTATGATGTGCACTGACTACCAAGGGGCAGACAGTCGACCGGTTGACCAGTCGCTATGACGTGCACTGACAAGGGGGCAGATGCTCCAGCTGGTAGCCTAGCTTGCTGCTGGGGTCCGGCTGATCAGACTGAGCGAGATAGGCCAGACATGCCCCGGAACCTCCCACGGTTCTTCCCCAGCTTGATCATGGACTGGTGGGGTCCCTCAGCCTGGCCTGCACCCTCTTGCAATACGGGACCCCTTGGGGGATGTCCAAGGGCCGGTCAGCCCGATCCCGCAGGCCACTCACCTTGGGAGAGCACCAGATGCAGGGCTCATGGCTGGTGAGCTCTGCTGCAGCAGCATGAGCCTCTTCCAATTGGGACTGATTGGGCGCGAGCCTGTGGCAGGCATAGTGGGGCCGGGATGAGCGGGAGTGCCAGGTAGGAGCTGCAGGCAGCGTTGGAGCCCAATCCCTGCAGGCCACCCAGGGGGACCCCACCCATGCACAAATTTGTGCACTGGGCCTCTAGTTCCTAAGATAAATATCCAAGATTTTACTGCTTATATTGTCTTCTATTTTATGGTTTCCAATCTTACTTTTAAATCTTTAATCTATTTTGAGTTTATTCTTGTATACGATGTAAGGTGGATGTCTAGGTTCATTTTTTGCAAGTACCTCTCCAATTTTCCCAACACGATTTATTGAATAGATTGTCTTTATCCCATTGTATGTTCTTGCTTCCTCTGTCAAATATTAATTGACCATGCAGGCATGGGCTTATTTCTGGGTTCTCTATTCTGTTCCATTCATCTATACACATCTGTTTTTATGACTGTTCATACTGTTGAAGAAGAATGGTGAAAAGTGGATAGCCCTGTCTTGTTTCCTGATCTTAAGGGAAACACTTTTAATTTTCCCTTGTTCAGTATAATGTTGGCTGTGGGTTTGTCACCTTCAAAGCTGAGTATGTTGCTTCTATTCCCACTTTGCTGAGTTTTTTCTAAATAATAAACAGATGCTGGATTACAACAAATGCTTTTTCAGCATATGATTTTTATCCTTCATTTTGTTTATGTGGTGTATCACCTTAATTGATTTGCAGATGTTGTATCAACCTTGCATCCCAAGAATAAATGCCACTTGACCAAAACGTTATTATCCTTTTAAGGCAATGCTGAACTTGGTTTGTTAATATTTTGTTGAAGTAATTTTAGCATCTATAGATATTGCTTTAATTTTCGTTCTTTGTAGTGTATTTATCTGGCTTTAAAATTAGGATAATATGGCTTCGTAAAATGAGCTTGGGAATCTTCCCTCCTCTTGAATTTTCTGGAATAGTTTCAGAAGAATAGGTATTAATTCGTCTTTGAATGTCTGATAAAATTCACCTGTGAAGCCATCCAGTTCAGGACTGTTGTTTGTTGGAAGTTGTTTTTTTGTTTTTTTACTACTGCTTCTATTTCATTAGTTATAATCAGTCTGTTCAGATTTTGTTCCTTCCTGATTCCATTTTAAAAGACTGTAAACTTCTAGGAACTTATAAATTTCTTCCGGATGGTCCAATTTGTAGATTTATAGTTATTCATAATATTTTCTTATAAT